CCGCTCTTCCCCGGCAAGGACCACGTGAACCAGTTCTCCATCATCACCGAGCTTCTGGGTACTCCCCCAGACGATGTGATCCAGACCATTTGCAGTGAAAACGTAAGTAGATGCACAAAACCTTGGAAGCAACTTTGCTGATTTCCGCAGACACTGCGATTCGTCCAGTCACTTCCCAAGCGCGAACGACAACCCCTCTCCAACAAGTTCAAGAACGCCGAGCCTCAAGGTCAGTTTGCAGCTTCAATGAAGAGAGCGTGGACTGACATTATCTAGCCGTCGATCTCCTAGAGAACATGTTGGTCTTTGACCCGAAGAAGCGTGTGCGAGCGGAGCAGGCCCTTGCCCACCCATACCTCGCTCCATACCACGACCCGACTGATGAGCCAGTCGCGGAGGAGAAGTTCGACTGGTCGTTCAACGACGCAGATCTACCCGTCGACACCTGGAAAATCATGATGTACGTGTACTCCCAGTGCATCACGTAAACGGAGCTAACACAACACAGGTACTCTGAAATCCTGGACTACCACAACGTAGATGCGGCGGCACAGGAGGAGAACAACGGCAGCTAAATACACATAATGTCTACCAATCTCGAGCTACAACAATTTTCAGTCTCCACGACAACAAAGTATGCAGTTGCCGAGGCTCGACGTATCATCTGCCTGGCGCAGGCGGAGTTGCTGTTCCCAATGATTCCCAAGGTCTCGTCTGTTGGACCTATGTGACATGAAGGTGCGCGGTAGATGGGGCATGGGCTTGTCTTTGTCATTTGGATCGCCATGGCTGGTACACGAAAGGAATGTTATGGAGGAATTGAAGGCTATGGTCGACCTAGGTAGGAATGTGAAATCATATTATCAAACATACGTTATTCTTCACTTTGACTCATGAACATGTCTGATTATATTGTATTTCAATGCGATGACAGCATTCGTCGCTAACGGGCCTGGCATCGCAGGTACTCAAGATAAAGACTGCATGATGTAAAGGGGAGATCAGAAAGTCCTCCAGATCTTCTCTGGTATCCGTGGCGGAGGATCTCGGGCGTACTCCCAAACCCGGGAACGGGTGGAGATCGCCGAGGCTTTCCACTAGCGCCATAAGGCTGATTGAGGGACCGCTGTTTCGTCACCGCTCTGAGCGCGTCCGCAACGACTCGAGGACGCGAGCCTGGCCCCTATGGCCCTACAACATTTGTTTGTATTTAAACTGAATGCTATGCGATAGCACTTCTATCGCACGACAATGGCGACTCTCAACCCACTTGTCTGCGTCGTGGACTTCCACCATGCGCGGTAAGCTTCTCCTTTACCAGTAGAGGTGTGAGTACAGAAAGAGACGGAGGAAGGATACTGGGCAACTTACGATACCTTTGTGGCTATCTGATGCGAATGAATCGCTGACTATTCAACGCAGAGGCCCAGAAGTGGAAACATGGCTCGGGGCAGAAGAGGGAACCGACCCAGCAGTAGACAACGACTGGTCGCTGCTGCCCTTCATGGCCCTGAGCGATGGCGCGCATGCCTCTGCCGAAGACTACTCGTACTTTACGCTCCGCCGCGCTCAGACCCCGACCTCACCCGCTACCTCACTCTTCGGAATATCGTGTACGCGACAGCTCGACGCAAGCAAGCTTATCGATCGGCCGGCTGAAGTTACAAGGAGTACGGTGCAAAAGGCTGTCGTTGTCATCAGCGATAGCCCACAGCACTTTGGGGCCATAAAAGCGCAGCTGGGCGTTGTCACCCAGCTGTGGTTCAATCAGAAGTACGTCAGGCTCTCATAGTGCAAGTCGAGGATGACGTGGAACTCACAATTCTTCAGAGACTTCACCGATATCGAGATATTGGAGCGCTTTACGGAAAGTCTACCCCAACTGCTTAAGAATCAGGAGGGGCAGCAGGACCATTACTTCGGTATTTCTCTGCGCGAGTTAATCCACGAGTTCAAATGGCAGACTTTGGTTCTTTTCAAATGCGCGCTACTTCAACCGAAGGTATGTTTCAACCTCTTGAAGCCGACATAGTGTGGCACGAGCATACAAGGTTACTGACGAAATGCAGGTCCTCTTCTTCGGCTCCCATTGCGAACGATTATGCATGATGCAATTTGCTCTTATTTCACTGATACCCGGCCTTATTCGCCACCTACAAGATGCTGCTGACCCTAAGTTCAATTCGTGTGAGGAAAAGTGTGTCATGCCCACTTCATTAAAGACATCGGAGCGCGCTTCCTGTCAGTGCATGTTCTCACCAATAGAAGCAATATACTGACAAGATTCAGTGTTGGCATACATGGGTCTCCCGCTCCAACTCTTCGGTACAGGCTCGCTGTTTGGACCATACACACCGCTTCAGCAGCTTGATATACTTGCAGACCAAGATACCAAGTCCTACATCGTCGGCTCTACGAACTCGCTGCTGCTTCAGCAAAGAGATCGATACAGCGATATCCTCATCAACCTCGATGACCACACCGTAAACATCACCTCAGCTGCACTCCGACAAGCATCGATCTTGTCGACGCCGGACCGGAGATGGATGGACTTCTTGACACAGACGATCAACGATACCTGGGATGAGGCAGATCCAGCGCGGCCCAAGGATCACGGATACGCCGGCAGCGAGGAGTTCATTCGCATGCAATTCGAAGAGTACCTGCTCGCAATGCTCAGCTCCGTCAAGTACAAGCTTTACATGGAAAAGAACGCACACAAGGAGAACTTGATTTCTGAAGTAGAAGGAGACCCAGCGAGCGAGTTCTCAAATGAGTGGGTACACGCCTGGATGCAGACTGAGAACTTCCGCATCTGGAATAAGTTTACCGATTCTCACCTTTTCGACATCGTTGATCCCAAACACCCCTGCTCTGGCGGTCTCTCAATGGAAGACGTTCAACGCCGACTAGCACAGTACGTTTCTGCATTCTTTCCATATCCCCACCAGCCCGACTAAAGCACTCACTTAGTCTGTTCTCCAACACAACCTTCCAAGCCGTATCTCTTGGCGTATGTGTGCTGATGCTCGCTTGGCGATTAGGCAGGTAGCAGAAATGCATCTCGACGAACGATTAGAAAAGTCTCGGGAGGTCTTGGGAAAACAGCTTGCAGTGGGCCAACAGAAGGTCAGCTCTGCATACAACCGCCTGTGGGCGGAGATGGAAGGCATGCGCGAGGCACAGAGGAAGAGAGCCGAGGAAGCGCGACTACAGGCTGAGAAAGAAGGGAGGCCCATCGATGATGCAAAGAAGTGTAAGTAAGACAACTCGCTTTGCACGCACACCAATGCTAATGACCAAATAGGGAAAGCACCTCAAGCCCCCGACCTCACGAACGCAAAAGCCAGCGCGGGCGCATACTTCTCCAGCTGGGGCACCTGGGCGAGCGAGAAGAGGAAGGGATGGGGCACAAAGACACCCGTATCTTCGCCTCCGCCGGGTGATCTCAAGAGAGCGGAAGACTTCAAGAGAGACAAGGAGGCGGTTGTTGGTGATACCCCGGCTAGTCCGCCGCCGCCGGATGTCAAGAGGAGAAGCTTGTTCTTTGATGCAGACGCAGAGAACGGTAAGGAGGGTGTTGGGAAGGAATGAAAGAGTAACGACTAAGGCACAGGTGATACTAGTGTTTGCACAGTTATAAGAGCGGCAATTTGATGCAGCGATCTATAGCGTTCGGTTCGGCGAAGTAAATATATGGTATCTCGCTTGTTCTGGTGTGTATCTGAACGGATTGGCTAGTCCTTGGATCTTGAGACTCTGTTTACATCGTTCACTATATCCATAGGCATCTAATGTGTAAGAAAGCAGATGCATTAGCCGTGTATCTATCGTACGTGCTCATTGTTGGTGGAGAAGGGCAGTTTAGTCATTAGCGTCTTGGCCATCTCGTGCCTCGTCAGACGTCCGATTGTCTCCACTCTTCCTTCTCCTCCAACTTCGAATCTGTCGCTGCGATAGTAATCGCCCTCATGATATTGCCAAATCCTCTCTCTTGTCTCGTCAGTCGCTTGGCCATGCTCGTCTTACTCGAACAAGAACTTATAATGCTATTGATCCTTCGGGCACGGAAGTTGTACTGAAGACTAACATGCAGTTTGACACAGTATGGCGGGCCGTAAAGGTAGGTGCATTCTTCACATTCCATTCTTATCGCATCCTAGTTACCTTGCATTGCGTCTTCCTTTTCTCCCGTCTTTCTTCATCGAGTGTTGTGCTTTGCAGGCTCCGGAGCGGAGATTGTTCCATGCCAGCAGGATGTGGCCAGGCCTGGCGAAGTAGACTAATCCACTTGACTGTCCAGTTCCAAGCGGTCTACTCATGTGCACCGTATCACTGGCTTGCATACTGAGGATGCTCATTGAGGACATGCGGTGTGTGCGTTTGTTCTTGCTCCGGCTTCGGTGGCCACTTCGACCATCCAGGCCATGGCGGCTACGAAGCAAGATCGCGATGCACTCAAGTGCAAGTGCAGTACTCGATGCAACCTTTTCCTGCCACAGTCGTGTCGCAATTGGCACAAGCGTTCATACTACTCACCGTCTCACTTCCCTCCAAAACCATGGCAACGCCGCCGGGTGTTTGGGCAACGCCGGCGTCGCATCCAAACGTAAACAGCTACCGATGCATTTCACGAGGCTTTTGATGTTCTCGCTTGCCAACATACCCGTCCTCTCGCTCCCGGTGAACCCCGATTCGGCCTCCGCACTCAGTTCACCGCCCGCGCTCCCGCTCCTCACCACGCGTCTCTTGTTTTGGCACACGTCTCTCACGTTCACCTTTGTCAACAACGCTGCCTAGAGCACGCGAGACGCGTCTTGGGCCCGAGCTTAAGCTGCTTAAATTTCTGCTATATAAAGGCTTGCTGCCCGCCTCTCCCTCTACCTCCTCACCCGACCCCACTCTTGAGTTGACACTTCGTCTACTTTGATCAAAGCCTTGCCTTTGACAGCTTCTACCTTCCTTGCTCCCACCCATACCTTGAGATACCCTGCCTCACGATGTCCGGCACATCAACATCTCTGTTCGGGGGCGATGCGCCATCTTCCCCCGCGAACAAAGACGTCGCGTCGGCTGTCAAGATGCCCAGCGTCCCAGATGCTCCACTTTCCGACGTTGATTCGTTCGCGTCCGAGCTCGGTAGCCTAGCATTGGCCATACAAGCCGTTGACGATACTGCTAGAGTTGCGCACGACGCAGATCTAGTAGCCGGCAGAGCTGTGCAGGCCGCTAGAGTCGAAGCCATCATCGCTAGGAAGGCCAAAGAGGCTGTAGCAGCGCTCTTCACCAGCCAGCTCAAAGGCAAGTCCAAGTCACATTCAACAGTGTTCAGATTGTGCTAACAGCTTCAGCTTTCGTTGAGAGTTTCCAGGAGGAACTCAAGAAGCACGGATTGTCCATTGACCGTCAGATCTCTTACATCTCAGATGCTCCCGATGTATGCTGACATGTACAGAGCTCGGTGATAACCCTTGCACTTGGTATGATATCAAGCAGTCCCTCTCCAAGAAACAGGACAAGAATGACAAGCCCGCCGCTGTCACCAAGGTGAGTCCATTGATTTCATTCTCTTTTCTCTCTTCTTCTCCTACTTTCTTCATTCTTCCTCTCTCTTTCATCCATCCGTATCCTCCCTCGTCTATCCGATGAATTTGAGTTCACCACGAATTTAGGGTGTCTTGAGCCTCCCCTTTGAGGTGTTTGGCGAAATCGGCCATCATCTTAGTGTTACGGACCTCAACGACATGCGTCTTGTCAACAGCCGCATGAAGGAGGCTGTGGCATTCCCATACGGTAAGAAGATTTCTGTTACTGAGAACATCGTTATCTTTCCTACGTTTGCAAGCGTTTCAGCGTTCTTGATCAGGCTTGGGTTGGAGGAGGCGTATCCTGGGACGGTTCGAACAATCACCTTGGTTGGCGAGGGACCGACAACCCCGGAGCTCGGCTACAACTACGCTTGGGAAAATCTCCACATTCTCAAGTTCCCCGGCATGCCAGAGCCAACCGAAGACCAGTTGTACGAGGATGAAGAGATCTTGGAGTTCGCCAACGATGAGCACAAGCACTGGAGCCGGGCCAACGAGTCATTCTGTCACACTGGCGCATACCGTACCATGCTCAGTAAGTCTCTCCCCATCTAACATGCTGCGAAGCATACCCGGACTACGCAAAAGCAACATAGCTAAATTCTGAACAGGCCTTGTACTCGCCAAGCTGCCCAACTTGAAGACGATTCAGGTTCGCAAGCTGTACCCCGGTGAGCACATCCCGGGTTGGGCCGGGCCGGAGGCTTTGGAGAAGATGTCGTCGTACCATCCATGGACTCCAGTCAACGAGATATACTATGGCGATTGGAAGTACGACGAGGTACACAAGCGTGTCACGATGTGGATAGACGAGTACGGTGAAGAGATGGAAGAGGATGACGCCGGCCCTCAGGCGGGTTTCGAGGAGGATCTGTACGCGGCTATGGCGTTGTCTGGTACAAAGGCTCAGGTCTTTGAGATGCACAAGGAGTTAGTCTGATTTGAGATGGATATGGGTGACTGGTAATTGGTGTGTAATGGGTTGAGATGATACGGATATGACTGCTAGATCTTCCTAATAGCTGGTCTGGATGGCAAAATATGATTGAATTTGCCCAAAATATCTGAATTTCGAGTGATCCATAATGGCTACATCACATCAACAGAGTTTGTACAGAACCCTGATGAACAGGCCAGGTGTACTTCAGTATCTCGTGACCTCAATGGCCACAACAGCAGATCTGACTGAATACCTCCCCGCCTCCTCATAGAAATCTATACAACACTCAAAAATGTATTGAAGCACATCAGCCCTCCCCGAAAACAAAGGCCCTCCAATTGCTCCTCAGCCTCTTCACACCCTCCTCCAACCCCCATCCTTTGATCCCACATATCCTCCGTATGATATCTTCCAACCTTCTGTCCATCTCATCCCCCGCAGTATGCAAATCACTCTCCACCAACAACATATCATCCGGCACCATCTTAATAATATCCTGAAAAGCCTGCGGCGTCTCCTCCTCATCCAGCGCATCCGACAGGTTAATCGCCGTACTAAACGAAGCAAAGATCTTACAAGGAATCTCCGGACGCAAGTACTGCGCAAAATTCGATGGAGAACCAGAATATGAATGCAGACATATGCGTGGCGGGTACGGTTTCGGACTGTCGTTCTTCGCACCAGCACCGTCACCACCACCATCATCAGCATCACCCATCTCATCAGCCTCCAACGCCGCCTCCGCACCCGGATGATCCCTCCCCCTCTTCTTCCTCTCCCTCTTACTCAAAACCAGCCTCTCGCACCCCTTCCACGTCTCAGCCAGCACCTCCAACACCAGCCCATGAGCCTGCACCCCATGCACACTTACCGCCCTCCCCATCTCCGCCGCAAGATCAAGCTGTTTCCTAAAAACGACCTTCTGGTGCGCAGGACTACATCGGAAAGGCGTCAGACGCCTTCCTTCGCGGCCTCCAGGGGTGAGATTACTGTTGCGCTTTGCCCACAGATCGGGGTTGCCGGTCCAGGACTCCGGGATGCGGAAGGAGCGGTCGAGTCCGATTTCGCCGATTAGCGCGAAGGGGTGTTGGAGGAGGTGTTGGCGCGTGAGGGCGAGGAAGGTGGAGAAGGGTGTTGGGTCGGGGAGGGAGGCGTAGGTTTGGAGGTCTTCTGGGCTGGGGTGCGGGCGGTGGGGTTGCAGGACGGATTGGTAGTGGGAGATTTTTGCTTGGCCGGTTAGAGGACCTTGGTCTTGTTGTTCATCTTCGCCTTTGGAGTCGGGCTCGGAGATGTACATTTGATAAGAGAACCAAGGATGCCAGCCGAAGCAGGGGACGATGCATTCTTCTTTTGTCCATTGGGATGGGTTGGCCGATCGGATGCTGTGCTTGTTTGCGGTGGCTAAGACGAGGTCTTGGTCTTCGGCTCTGGTTGCCATTACGGTGAGGATGCGCGCTTTCATGTTCTGGATGGTCTCGATGCTTGACATGGTGTCTGTGGGGTGGCAGTGTGCGTCGTAGACTCCGAGATGCCATGGGAAGGGCTCGTCCTTGTTGGATTGTGTTGACATCTTGTGTCGATGACAGAAGAACTTCTGGATCAAAATGTGTAGAGAATTGGAATACTCTGTGTTGTCGCATGAAGCAAATCTACATTATGACGTGCATGTGAGGCTACTCGGGTGATCCCTGTCGGGCAACGCGCTTTCCGGATTACCCCACGACCCCACCATCAATTGCTGCATGCCAGCTTCCGACAGCTCTACAATGCCATATAACCCGCTAGTATGATCCCTTACAGCACTTAATCTAGTCCTCTGACCTATCCTGAGTCGTATTCAGCTTGCCTACCCCAGTCTAGGACCTCGGCAACTACCAGTACTGGCGAAACCTCGGAAGAGCCAACCTCATACCATTTGCTACTTACGGATACATGCGCATGCGCACATGCATAGTACAAAGAGCCGTCTTCCTGGGTCCATCAGGCAGACGAGAATCCACTTTTTACATGGAGCTGTCAGCCCAATAGCAAACGCCACATTCCGCGCTACCTTGTACGGGACCTAGACGCGAAATGTATTGAGTTGTCACTTTACGCCCCGGAATACGATCGACGCAGAACCAGGTGCCTCGCTTCAATTAAACTCCATGGAAATCCACCAGTGAAGGATTCTGCTAGTAGACCTGTTTGCCTAATCTTACTCCAGGACCGAGGATGTACTTTCTCCGCATAGAGTAACCCCTCACTAGATACGCCCGTTCGCTTGACAGTCACTTGGACAGTCTAGTACATGTACTCATACTTTATATCACTTCTACTTCACTTCGACTTGTCACTATCTTTCTTTCTCTTCTTCTTCTTCTTCCTATCAACTTCAGGTCTCTTCCTCTTACTACAATACAACGGTCTATCCCACAGCAAACACAGACAACCAAAACTATCGTCACCTACCAACTTCACCCCAACTTCAAACACAACTACCACTACACTCTCCACGATGCCACCCCGCCTACACAACAAAATCGCCGTAATAACCGGCTCCTCCTCAGGCATCGGCCGCGCCACAGCCCTAGCCTTCGCCTCAGAAGGCGCCTCCCTAATCTGCTCCGACATAACCGAAACGCCGCGATCAGAATACGCCACAGACACCTCCCCCAGCAGCACCACCGTCGCCGCCGCCCACGCCCTCGGCGCGAAAGCCCTCTTCGTAAAATGCGACACCACCTCCTCGACCGACATCCAAGCCCTGATCCAGACCGCAGTAAAAGAATACGGTAGAATCGACATTATGGTTAACAACGCGGGGATTAGCGTAGAGACGGGTGAGCATGGCAGTCGGCCGGTGTGGGAATACGAAGAAGCGGCTTTTGAGCGCACGGTCGATGTTAATATCAAGGGGGTTTTCCTCGGGACGAAGTATGCGAGTAGGCAGATGGTGGGGCAGGAGCCGGGGGAGAGGGGGGATAGAGGATGGATTATCAATTTGAGTAGTGTTTATGGGTTGAGGGGGACTTCGGGGATCTGTAAGTTCTTGAGTTCCCTTTTTGTTCTTGCTGGGTATGCGACGTTGAGGCTATGAGTAGACGGGAAGCTGACAATCTACTAGCGGGCTATGCGACTTCCAAACACGCCGTCATGGGTCTCACAAAGTCTGCTGCGCTGGACTGCGCGCCCTATCGTATCCACGTCAACGCTCTTTGTCCGGGTTACACAGCTACGGCCTTCATCTCTTCGCTACTCACACCCGAAGCCGCAGATTCGAAGAAAGAGGTCGAGACGAGACATCCGTTTGGTGGACTGGGTACGCCGCAGGATATTGCGAGGGCGGCGGTGTTCTTGGCTAGTGAGGACGCGGCGTGGGTCACGGGTATTGGGCTGCCGGTTGATGGGGGGTTTAGCTGTATGTGAGGGTGCTAAGGCATGGAGTTATGGGCGGATGGATGGGGTTGCTGAACTGGGAATTGGACATTTCGTGCATTCTGCTTAGATTGCGATGGTGCTTGGAGCATGCATGGTTAAGGAGGAAGATCCAGGCTTCAGTATATGAGAGCTGGTACATCAGGTAGGAGAGACATTCTTCCATCACAAATACAATATCTTCTGCAAATGAGTGTTTGACCTGTTTCATTGATTTTGTGGATTATACTAATCACTCTGTACTATGCTATAGCCTCTAGGCCGTCCCAAGTCCTCAAAACAACACCCTATGTACACCCAGTCAACGTAAAAGTGACACACGAAGAAAGCCCCAAAGTGTATAAGAAAAAGAGACAAAACAACTGGTTTGGGGAAATCGTCGATTGAGGGAAAATGCAGGGACAAGGAAACCCAAAACGCCGCAGCTATGCATAGCTTTCAAGAGTAAAAGGACCTAACGGAGGGGGTGCGAGAACGGAGTCGACTAGGAAAACGGAGAGAGTGCGAATGGAGAGGGTATCGCCGCCGGGGGGACAAGGCCGACATGTGTAAGAGGCGGTCGTGCTCCTTGGTACTATGCAAAAGGTGGATCAGTCAAGCTGAAGGGTCGGAATGTAGTGTGGGGATATAGGTGGCGTGGTGGAAGGGCCGAGGGAGTGTGGGAGAATGTATGAGGTGTTTGAGGCACTACCTCGCTACACGGTGGATCAACCTGTGAGGTGTTAGTAAAGAACAGGTCATGTCATCGACTGGGTAGACTTACCTCAGCGTGCTGATGGAAAAGGTGGCAATCCATGCAAGCAATGCAATCAACAGTGTCGCTGTCAAGCCTTTCTGCCTCTCACAAATGCTCTGTCGATACGGACAAGCATTCGTCCTGTCCGACTCAACGCATGCCCATTTGTCGTCCGTCAGGGCCTGGAAAGCCAAACTAAGGTTCGCCGACTCGAAGACGATGAAGGCCAGATCGAGAAAGATCAGCGACATTTTGGCATTGGGCGAGCGTAGGCCGAGGGGCTTGGAAGTGTATTCGTCGTAGGTGATGTAGATGGTGTATAGGACGGCTACGATGTCGACGAGTATGGCCATCCAGGTAGACGAGTTGTTGCTGCAGCCGTTGTTGTCCGAGTGGCGGTAGATGGAGCAGGCGAGGGAGAGGGCGAGGATGGAGAAGACGAGGACAATGGCGCGGACCAAGGCGGGAACCATGGGGTGGTTCATGATAGTGTTGTGGAAGCGCATCAGGCGGCGCTTCCTCTTCTCCGAGGTGAAGAGCCAGAAGCCCTTGATGTGCTCGTCGCCGAGGCCGTTGTCGATGGGCTCCCACTTCTGCTCGAGATCGGGCATGTTCTCCTTGAGCCAGTCATCGTCGACGATCTGGCCGCGCGAGGAGATGGGGCGGTCGTGGTTGGAGGCCTGCGTGAACTGCTTCCATTTGGGTGCGCTGTCACTGACGGGCGTCGAGAGGGTCACGGGGGCGCCCTCGCGAGCATGGTCGAACTTGCGGCCTGGCACGCTGGACTTGGGCGTCGGGCAGAAGTTGTGGTTGGCATGGCGGACGTTGGTGGGCGTGCGTGGTAGGA